TATTGCAGACAATAGCTACTAATGCACGTGATCAAATGACGAACAGACAATAAATCTCGATAAATGTATAGAACGAATAGAGGATCTGTCCATTCTTTATTTGTCTTTTTAAATCGTAATGATTCACTAGACGCAACAATAAAACTAAGATGTACCTATTTTTGAATAGCTGAAACTTTAAAGATTCATCTTAATTGAATTATCCAAATGAAATGTGGACAGGACGAGATGTAAAGGGACGAAATAAATTTGGGACGATTTGTAAGGGGATAAAATGAAATTAGGACAAAATGTAATGGGACGAGTTGTAAAGGGACAAAATGTAAATGGAACGAATTGTAAATGGGACGAATAGTAAAGGGCCGAATCGTAAAGGGACGAAATGTAATTGGGACGAGTTGTGTGGGACGAATAGTAAGGGACGAAATGTCGTGTACAGAAGTGATCGGTCACCGAGTGTGGGATGTGGGTGTGGTTGGAATGTGAGTGTGGGTGTGGATATCGGCGCGCAGGTATGGTTCTCCTCACCCTCACTCACATCCACAGCCCTACCCCCACCCCCACAACCACACCCACACCCTGACACCCCACCCCGACCCCCACCCCCACCCCCACCCCCACCCACACCCAACTAACTGAATGAATCGAGTACGTCATATGGAAAATTTCACAAATCATTTTATTTTTTTCATAATTGTATCTTAGACTTTTGTCCAATGCGTCAAACTATTTGATGAAGTTGCAGTAGTTCGAGAAATATATAAGATCCTTCTTCAATTACTCTCATTTTTTTGTAACTACGCACTAAATAAAAATGTGTCGCATGTGTCGTGATTTGCGACACATTGTAGTACGACACAAGGAGCTCACTGCGACACATTTTCTCCAGCGAGACTGCGACACATTTTGTACGACACATGCGACACATTTTCTATTGGTTCTTTTCGAAAAGCATAATTATTTCAATTTTTTTCTGTTCAATATAATTCCATTGAGTTATTTCTATGGTGAAAACTCTAGCAGGTTAGATCCTGAGATCTGTCCTGCTTCGAGTTGATCTGATTTGCATCAGACGACTCCAATGTAGTCCTTTCTCCATGATGAATCGAGATTGGCATTTTCTCGACAAAGACTATCGAGAAATAATTTAGAAAAAAAAGAATATTTTGAAAATTCATCTTTCTTACGTACAACTACGTTGTTTATATATCGTCATGTCTGCATAATAAAAAGGGTGAACGACTAGTTAGTAGACAGAACGCGAAAAATTCGTATGCGACACATTCTGTGCACGACACATTTTTCTGCTGGAGTGCACGACACAATAATTCACGACACATAAACACGACGCATTTTAATTTAGTGTGTATCATGATTGAAAGAAAAAGTTTGAAAAGAAATGTACTTCAGTGTGTTGTTCGACACTGTATGAGATGAAGTACAGTAATTCTTACCGTTTTCCTTCCATATACATTGAATAATGACAAATATTTTTCTTATTCTCTTTTGCTTTAGTAGCGGTGTTCTTTCGTTCGGTGATAAAAAAAAGGCAAAGTGATGTCATTACTACTTCGTCGAAAGTAACTGGTTTAGATTTGTTTCTCTAGCGATATTCAAAAAAGGATAAGTATTTACCTTTATTTTACTTTAAGAAATTTCATAACTTTTTGTTTTTATGACATCATCTGGTGACGCATATGTTCTATTCGTTTTACGAAAATATGGCTCACTATATAACTGTTTATTTATTTCATTGCAGCAAATATAACCAATAAAATTAAAATAAATTGCTACATCGTCCTCTGTTGTATTATCGCCAATGAAAACTTTACTTGAATCTACTAATATACAAATTCTTCCTCAACATCGCTTAAAAGTTCCAAAAACAAGTCTGATTCCAGCTATTTTCTTCTATAATGGAAGTTTTACACCAATTCATGCAGGTCATCTGAATGTCCTGGAAGATGCAAAACTTTATATTGATAATCTCGGAACGCATGAATTTCTAGCTGCATATATATCTCCATCACATTCTGGATATATTGCAAAGAAATTAAAAGCAGAAGAGTTGATTGGAGCTGGACATCGTCTATCAATGATTTATCTTGCAATTGAGAATATCGATTGGGTTATGATAGATTTATTTGAAATATTTCAACCATGCAAAACTAAATTAAGTATTACAATGGAAGCATTTCTTTCACGTGTTCATTCACAACTTCCTCATGGAAAAAGCATTGATGTATTTTGGTTAAAAGGAGAAGATGCACTTTTTCATACTAGATCACCTGACAATTTGATTCAATTGGGATTTCATACAATATATGTTCTCAATCGAGGATGTAATGAGGACATAATTAATAATAATGATGAACTTAAATCTATTGAAGATTATTATGAAAAACGTTGGCGAGAAATACGAGCTTCATCATCTTTTCCAGAAAAGTATAGTTGTTAGTCGTTAAGTAATTCTACATTCATATTTTCCTATTTATTAGGTTTCATATTGTCCAATCAACACATATGAATCTTTCCTCGAGTACTATTCGAGCCTGTGCACAAAATCCTTCTGTAACACGTGAAAACCTTCAGTTGTGCATCCAGCTTGACAGCATCACTACATATATCATACAACATCAACTATGGAGCACACGTGTAAATACAATGCCAGCACTTTCTGTCTTTCCTAATGGAATTACCGATCTAACACTTGAACTTCTTTCAACCATGCTCTCTGCATATTCAAGCTCATCAGTAAAAGTAAACTCCTTTATGTTTGAACAAATCGGCGTTGGGAAAGGTTGGAACGGATCTATATATCGTCTTTATGATATCCAATATTCATCTGATAGTACGGATTATCTTCCGCCAAGTATGGTATTAAAACTATCAACTGGCATTTGGCTACAGCGTGTTGCCTCTATCGAACCAGAATTTTATTTAAAACTTGGGCCACGCATCTCTAATATTGAAATACCCAAATGTTATTATGTTGCTCGTCACCCTCATTCTTCAAACGAGAGTTTGTTGCTTCTTGAAGATCTTTCTATGAATTGTGATCCATTAGATTCAAAAGAGTCGCTAAAAGATTTAACATTGTTTTTTCTTATTGCTTCAATCGCATCTTTGCACGCCGAGTTTTTCAATCATCCACTATTGCGGCAAGAAATGTTCGCATGGCTACCTTCAGTAAATTCAACATTGACACACTATCATACTGAATATGCATTAAAGATGACTGACAAAGAATTCACACAATTATTAGAATCGAGAGTATCACCCAAAGCATATACTTATGCTAAAGCACTTGTTACACATATTCCACATTTATTTCAAACACTCACTGACGAACATTATACTTTATCGCATGGTGACTTTTGGATTAATAATCTATTCATCCGACGTAGTCAGTCACATCGATTAGTATTATTTGATTGGCAGACTTGCTGTCGTGCAAATGGATTAATTGATATCGTGTTTTTCTTACGCTTACTTGACACTGATCGAGCTCGTTCACTTGAATCACAAGTTCTCCAATTGTATCATCAAACGCTGGTTAAGTATGGGGTTTCGCACTATGATGCATCTGCCATCCGTGAAGACTACTATTCACTGGCTCTCCCATTTATGTTCGTCCTTCTTTCTTCTTTGAAACCCTTAAAAGACAGTAAATTCAACAAAATAATAACGATATTGGAAGATATTGTTACGTATGGTAAGAAAACCGAACGGACAACATGTGAATGTGACTTAGGCATATAAAAACAAAAGCAGAATGATAATAAACTTTTGCTAAATAGTATCCTCCTTCCTCGTTTTGTGTAATCTCTTTCGTTTAATATGAATAATTCTTTTCTTATATGTGATATTTCCTCATTACTTTCAGTGTTCCTCTTTGTACATTTGATGTCAAACAGAAACATGTATGAGTAAGAATTTCGATCACATTTGATAAATTTTTTCAAGTATGATACAAAATAAAATTAAAATTCACATCACACTCAGCTTTGCATTATGTAACAAATTTCATTGTAATGATTTTTCAATGCAATGAGATTTTATCTTTGAACTAGTAAAAAGAAATTCTTTTATTTTATTGATGCAATCATGTTTAGTAAGGATTTATCTCCTTATAAATATATTAATAGTTAAATATTTGCTTTGAATTTCTTCGTAACACATTTACAGGCATGATCATTTTTGTGAGATTTCGCTCAATCGTTCAACTGTAATGATTTCAGTTCTTGTAGTCGAATTTCATTCAATCGATGGACTATTTTTCGTATTTTCGGCGAAAAGAACATTTTGTACACGACTTCGTGTTACTCCATCGGATAGAATAGTATCATCTAAAGTTAAAGATTGGTTGAACAGTTGTTCGTCAGACAACAAAGGAACCCGTCAGAACGAAGGCATACTTTTCCTTAGAAGTGGCATTTCGATAATAATGTGATAAATCGATTGGGATCATACTGAGAATAATGTCTTGCGCGGTTGCTAATAAAGCGATAATGCACCACATTCGAGCGTCGTTAGCAAGCATAAGAACATTGTCTTTAATTAATTGATATGCGTACATCTCCAGTATCATCATCTATTTATGCTATGCATAAGACGAAGAGAACTTTTGAGTATATATTATGGATTTATTACATGACATTGAACAATCTCTTACGAGAATAAAGGAAAATATAAGATATCAATACTGCAAAGGATCCTGAGCAAAACAAAACATGAAAATGGCCCTGTTCTTGCCGTAACCATATTACAAAGTAAACGATTGAAAATCTTGTACCCAGCAAGAACAAATTGCAGTGGCAACGCTTTACGGAAGTTGAGAATAACGATTAAAGTTACGTGAACCCTTCATCATCTTACTTAAAAGACATATTATACGATTATCACACTATCAAGTATGGTAAAATTTTTAAAAGCAAAGCCAATCCAGCTACTTCTTATTGGAATGACTTAGAAGTTCATTCTCTATTTTATTTGTTAGCTTTTAATATTGCCAAACTAGAAGATACATATGTAAAATCTTGTTTGAATTTGAAATCATTTACTGCATTCTGCCAAACATTAAACACACAGACAACAACGAGGAAAAAATTTCACCGTTGTTGCATAGCATTGCAAACAATCGAAACAGATAGAAGTAAATGAAGGACAATTATTATTCTCGATCAAAGGTAATTTTGCTTGACCTGATCGTAATTAGGAATGCACCAAATCCTAAAATTTGACACAAAGATTGTAGATATTCGATATGAAAACTCGTCAAACCCAGCCAAATCTTTGCGTCAGTTATACTCAGTTCTACTCGCTCTATCCAATATAGGTGCTAGATTTCGGTCAATTTAGAAAAAACTTGTAAAGTTTGACAGGATTTGTCTGAAACTATGCTTTTTAGCACTTTTTTTGTCAAATCCTGTCAAAACTTGAAATTTTTTCTTTAAGTTGGCCAAAATCTAGCACCTATAGCGGATAGAGCGAGTAAAACTGATTATAACTGACACAAAGATTTGACTGGGTTTGACGGGTTTTCATACCGAAAATCTACAATCTTTGCGTCAGACTTTCAGGATTTGGTGCATCCCTAATCGTAATTGTGAAGACTCATAAGATGAAACTGAAAATGGAGGATTAGTAAATGAATGGATTGGATGTACTGTGGCATAAGTATATGGTGGTGAGGGATCGAAATTTGATTTATCTCAATTCATTTTGCTACGTTGATGAAATGCATGAATGGGTGTGGGTGTGTGGGTGTGGGCAGTGGGTGCAGGTGGGTGTATCTGTAGGTGTGGATTGTGGGTGTCTGGGTGTCGGTGTTTTGGCATGAGTCTTCTCGTCATCGACACGCACACTACACACCCACACCCACAAAAGAGTTTAGATGAGGATAAATAATTAACATCAACTGTAAAACATAATTACAAAAACAAAAACAAGTTATTAGCTACAATTAATTCAGGGATTGCTCCTGGCTCTGTTTTTCTACTAATAAAGTAACTCAACCATTATCGGCGCTAGAATTCAAGGCACTCGAATGTTTTTTGAGTAACTTTCGATAGGATCAAGATAGAGGCCTGGGATTTTCACCGTTCGAAAGAGCGGTGTTCGGGTCATCGATCTGCACAGATTTCATCAAGACGAAAGATGTTTTTTTGTGTACTCAAAAAGTGAGTACACTATAGAATCGGTCAGTGTGTCCGCCCGTCTGTTCAGCCTTTTACACGATAACTTTCGAAAGGAGAATCCGATCGCGATGAAATTTTCTACACAGTTTCGTCTCATCAACATCTCGGTCGAGTTCGAAGATGAGAATGTTTCGTCGAGCCATTACTGAGTTATCGCAAAAAGAGTCATTATTCCCTATGCTTTTCTATGCGAACATTGACCTATCCCGCTTCTCGTAAAAAACTTTTCCTCTCATAATCAAACAAAACCCAAACTATTATATACCATTCGATAGAGAATTTCAAGAGATACAAAATGGTATATAAAACATTAAGAAACAAGATGGCTAAGTCACCTATTGTAAAGATACTTAAACGGAAATTGGTACTGTTTTTGTCCACGTTCCAATTGATCGAAAAGTAAAGCTCCATCTTCCGATCATAGAGATGATAGTTCGAGGTTTTCTAGGGTGGAGAACTCGAAGCTGAGCTCCACTTGCCTCGAAATCCTATTGGTTGAGCAGTAACCAATAGGAACCAAGTTTTAGGAAAAACGACTTTCTGACGGTAATTCAGAACGAAGAGTTTAAATCTAAGCTGTATTTGCTCCAAAACCCTATTGGTTTAGCAGTAACTGATACAAATCAAGTTTTAATAGAAGGGCTCGCTAGGATAATTTTGATGCCTACACGTGCTAGGATGACACATCTGTCCAGTTCACTTTTTGAAGTACACATAGCACTCGGATTTAAATCCGAGGTTTCCACATTTATTCCAACCCACGATCACCCGTATCTTTTGGCGGTGAATAGCCCTACTCGAGTTACGTACATACCCAAAATTTCAGCCTTTTATATGCTTGCATAAGAAAAATAGCAAGGACCTACTTTTCAACTTTAAGCCTTATAATCAAATTCTGAATGACATATATGAAATTCAATTATAAGGCTAAAAGTTGAAAAGTAGGTCCGTGCTATTTTTCTTATGCATGCATATAACAGGCTGAAATTTGGGTATGTACGTAACTCGAGTAGGGCTATTCACTGTCAAAAGATACAGGTGATCGTAGGTTGGAAAAAGACAGTGTGCATTGGAAATGACGATTATTTTTCAACCATTTTGGGTGATCGTGTGTGTTCGTAGAATCAGCTCGCCGAGCTCTATCTACCGATGGTATCACTCCCCGATTTGGGGGTGATCGTGGGTGATCGCGTCTATTACAAATCTCATCATTCATGTACTCGCCAATAGGGATAGAAAGGAAGGAAAGGAATAGTTT